AGTCGGATGACTATAAAGGCGCTATACAAGAGTAGGTCCATTTACCAGTAATACCAGTTTGAAAAGCTAGGGGGAGGGGAAGCTTAAAAGTTTTCTGTTGGTGACCGGACAAGATTTAGTATCGGAAGTTCTTCCTTTTTCTGTTTGTATTCTGACCTATTCTCACCTGGACCATGCACATCTCACACCAGGTGAGGAAAGCCCAACAAAGACTGTACTTCCTCAGGAAGTTAAAACACGCTCACCTCCCTCATCACCTGCTCACCAACTTCTACCAGGCAGCCATAGAGAGCATCCTGACCTACTGCTGCACTGTGTGGTTCTCCAGCTGCACAGAGGAGAACAAGTAGGATCTCCAGCGGGTGGTGAGGGCGGCTGAGCGTGTTACTGGATCACCATTGCCGTCACTTACCAACATTTACACTGGCCGACTGGAAAAGAAAGCCAGTGCTATTTCCAAAGATCATTCACACCCTGGACATTCTCTGTTTTCTCCTCTGTCCTCTGGGAGAAGATACAGGACAATAAAAACCAAAACAAATAGACTGAGAAACAGCTTCTACCCACGAGCTGTTATGGCCATCACCCCTGATATCCAATGACGCGCACTGAACTGTCTGCACGAGTCACACTTTTAATCTCTTTTTATTGTTATTTTATTTATGAATGAATGTATATATGATGTTTGCTGCTGCAATTCTGGAGGTGTCAAACTGTTTTTCATTGTTTTCTTCTGGAGCAATGACAATAAATTTCTATTCTATTCTATTCTATTCTATTCTATTCTATTCTATTCTATTCTAGTGTTGACCAATCATGTTTATACAGCAGGTAAAAAGTCCCTGTGGAGAGGTGGAATGCATTGGCAGAAATGCAATCTCAAAACCTATCAGCTCTTGTCTGACAATGATTTGGCTTTATATTAGTTTTTATTTTTAGTCATTCGCCAAAATGGTTGGCACACGTAAGCGTAAGTCTTGGCCTGGATATCCGCTGGCTGCACCAGATCAGCCTGAATTATTGCCCCCCAGAGGCTTTATCATCGCCGGACAATAGCAGACGGGTTCCAAGATTGTTTCTGACCTGGAAGGCGAGGGGAGCGTACAGGACATAGTCTCATCGTGAAGATTAACTGATTTCCATATGGGGCGAGGAACCTTTTGTGCACTCAAATCAGATCATATGAAGTTGATAGCTACAGTATTTGCAATTCTGTGTCCACCAGGGTTTCTTCAGGAGGACAATCAGGCTGAAGCTGGAGTATGATAAGTGTGAACGCAACTGCAAAATCCAAAAGAAGAACCGCAACAAGTGCCAGTACTGCCGATTCCACAAGTGCCTCTCTGTGGGCATGTCCCACAATGGTAAGACCTGAGACCTCCAGATAGTGTAAAGCTAAACAGTTTAGAGATTAGAAAATGTGTTGCATTATCTTTCAAAAAGAATTCAGTGTCCACTGAAACACGGATACAGCACGGACAGAACTTGCAACTAAGCTTCATGAATGCAGTTACATAAATCTCTGCTCAGCATGTCCTCAGTCGACACCATATTATGTGTTCTGAACAACAGCAGGACGTGTCCTAATGTGATTTGGCTCCAAATCAGCATGCTTTACATTGACTGGGTTTTTATAGAACAACGTCCTGCTGGAGCCAGCTTGACATTGAGAAAACACAGGCCCGTATAGCTCCACATCTGGCCCGTCATCTGCACCGACTGCTGAGGGGTCATTGGGTTCGTTTTGATGGGCTCCCACTGCAGACAGAGCAGTGTCAGAAACCTGAGAGGAGGACGACATGTTGTCCTCGGGAGAGAGGAAAGAGAACAGTGGACATTTGTGTTTTCTGTAGGAGGATTTAACTGCTTATCTTATTGTAAAATAACTCACCTAGCATTTTGAAACCTCTTCTGGCTGTAATGATGAATGTTTCTATGCACCAGCCATCCGGTTCGGTCGGATGCCTCAGGCGGAGAAGCTAAAGCTGAAGGCAGAAAGCAAGATGGTGGAGAAGGAGGTGGCGAGCCCCTTGCAGGCCGACCACAAGATTCTGGTAGGGCAGATCCACGAAGCCTACATGAGGAACTTCAACATGAACAAGGCAAAAGCACGGCTCATACTCACCGGAAAAACTAGTAAACCGGTAAAGCAAAAAAAAAAAAAACCCTATTCTTTAGTGTGTATCTCTGCAGAATAAAGGACATCCTCACCTTCCAACATCCTCTCCCCGCAGCCTTTCATCATTCACGACATGGAGACGTTCCAGCTGGCAGAGAGGACGTTAGCGGTCCATATGGTAAACGGGGACAGTCCAGAGCCGGAGAGCCGCCTTCAAGCTGGGGAGCTGGTTCCGGCCACGGGGTGTGGGGAGCTCCAGCAGAGGGAAGCCGAAGCCAGGCTCTTCCACTGCTGCCAGAGCACCTCGGTGGAGACGGTCACAGAGTTGACGGAGTTCGCCAAGGCAGTACCGGGTTTCCAGAGCCTGGATCTGAATGATCAGGTGGGGTTAGGGAAGCAGGATCTGACATTTGCCGTCATAACTTGAATTAAATTTGATGTTTTTTCTGTTTTAATTTTTGTGTGAAATCATTTGAAACACATTTTTAAGCACATCTGATTCATGCTGTGGCAACCTTACCTGCCTGTTCAGGTGACTCTATTGAAATATGGCGTTTATGAAGCCCTCTTCACCCTCCTGGCGTCCTGCATGAACAAAGATGGCCTCCTGGTGGCGCGTGGTGGAGGCTTCATCACACGAGAATTCCTCAAGAGCCTCCGGCGGCCATTTAGCGACATGATGGAGCCCAAATTCCAGTTTGCCACACGCTTCAACTCCCTGGAGCTGGACGACAGCGACCTGGCCCTTTTCGTGGCTGCCATTATCTGCTGTGGAGGTGACTGACATTATGTGGAAAAAATGAATCACATTTAAAAGTGCACAAAGAAACTGAATCCTCCTTTGTACCTCTCCCTTTATCTGATCCCGTCCCCTGCAGATCGCCCAGGCCTGGTGGATGTGCCTCTTGTGGAGCGGCTGCAGGAAAGCATCATTCAGGCGCTACGGCTCCACCTGCAGGCCAACCACCCGGACAACAACTTCCTCTTCCCCAGACTGCTGCAGAAACTGGCCGACCTCCGGGAGCTGGTCACCGAGCATGCTCAGCTGGTGCAGGAAATCAAGACGTCAGAGGACACGTCGCTGCACCCGCTCCTGCAAGAAATATACAGGGACATGTATTGAGACGACAGCACACGGTCATGAACTATCATGCATATCAGTGTACTGTGAGCAGCTTATTGTGCAGCTTGGATGGGTGCACGCTGCTGTGATCTGCAGCGGGTGCATTCAGTCCCTGTGACTTACTGGAACAAAACATAAATGAAATTCTTCTAGGAGGGGAAAGGCAGCTCTTGTAGGAGGCGTGGCTGCTTCCGTGAAAGGAGACAGACTGGGGAACAAACTTTTCAATCTTACACCATAGATATTTTGAGGTATTTTTTTATGCAAGAGACTGCTATGGACTGGGTTCTGGATGCTAGCTTCTACTCTACACACTGAACAAAAGCTAAATTGGGAGTAGGCTGTGTGTATTTGCATAGCATTTAAAATGGGTGTACACATATTAAAAAATACCTGGACTTGACTACTACAGTCATACGTGCACTGATGCTAAATAAATAAATAATTTTGCCTGTGAACAATAAGTTGAAATGCAGTAAAAGAAGCTGAAAAGACATGAAAGAAATTTCAACAATTTTAATTCTGAGGCAACTGAAATGTTAGTTGTGCAATAAGCGCTAAACTCAATACCGGACATGTTCCTAATATTTTGGATATTTAATGTGTATAATTGGAATTGTCATGACTTTTCATCATGTACTAGTGCCTTAATGACATCGACCACATCTCCCTCCTTCAATCTTTTTGAGATTAGTGGTTGCAGCAACACTTACATCAGTGTTCACGTCGTGCCATAATGTTTCCTCTATTGTGACCACACCTGCACCACAAAACAAATCATAGAGCAATTGTTTAACTATTTAGTGTTTGATCAGGGAATGTTCTCACCTCATAAATCACAAACAGTGGTGCATCATTTGAAAATATTGTAATTTAATGTGTAATGTATTTATTGTAATCCTTTATCCTAATGCTAAGAACCAACACAACATGATAGCTCACCTATTTTTGTGCAAATCCTGCCATTAAGACACATTAAAAAAAAGAAAAAACAGTATGTGCCAGTATTGAATAGTTTGACCACAAACACAATAATCTTTTAAGCTGGTTTATGTTTTATTTTGTAAATATAGCAAGAATGTGGTGGCCATAGTGGAAGGTGAGTGTGCAGCGCTGATTGCCTCCTTCGCTGCTCTTCACCTCACAATGTAGTATTGAAACACTGTTTCTTGTCAAAACTGTTTATATTTTTTATCATGTACAGGACTGTGTACATTAGATGGATTTGCTGTCTCAATAAAATGATTTATGTCATGTTGTAGAAATAAACTAATATATTTAACTGAGAAATATGTAATGCCCTGACTTATTTACCTGCCTAATTTTCTACACACGCTGTTGTTTAAATAAATTAGCCACTGGCCTTCTGACCTGCAGATAGTTGGGGTTGCCACAGCAGGAAAAGCACAGGTGGAACTAATACTGTTAATGATAGCTTTGTTCCAGTTAAGTGACCCAGTGAGCCATGAATGTAATTAATTACACCTGTGCTTTGCCTTCATGACAAGTTCAAGTACCTGCTGTACAAATGCAATATCTAAGAAATATTTTTTTACTGTGAAATTAACCCATGCTATTAATTTTGGCTGGTTTACTAAATTTTCATATTTTATATTAAAATATATATATCAACATATATTTGTTTGAAACATACTGATACTGTGAAGAAATACGTAAAATTGTATTTTTATATCTGTGCACCGTCTAGTGTTCTTCCTCCCCAGTCCATTGGGTGGCGCAAAAGCTTCACGAAAGAACATGGCTGCACTCGACATGAAAACCAGGAAGTAGCTTCTTCCTTCGCTCCTTTGCTTTGAAAGATGGAGCAAACTCTAACCGAGCCCCGTCAAAAGACATTTACTTGCCAGTTGTGTGATTTAAGCAGCCCTTTCACTTACTACGGCCAGAAACCACCAAACACCAGAGCCATTGTGTAAGTGGACATTAAGCATAAAGTGTTTCTAGTAGCGCTCTGGAGCTAGCTATGCTAATGCTAATGCTGTTAAATGTTAACGCCAGCATCTACTGTTAGACACGCATAGAAATGACAACATACAGTGATTTGTACGTGAAGTTTAAAGCAAGTTATGCCCTGGAACACGCACCTGTTTGGTGTTTGTGAACCACATGACTCTAAATTACGTTATACGTAAGCTCATGTCCGCATTTCTGTCGTTAACCAGGCTACTGGAGGAGTGTTTTGTGACCCAGGACCCCTTCAGTCCGGACAAGGAGAAGTTCCTGGTGTTGGGCTCTACCTGCAGCCTGTGCAGCAAGTGTGTCTGTGTTGGATTGGTAAGATGTCTTGAAATTGAATTGTTTCGGTCTGTTTTTGCCACAGATTAAATATGTGGCCATGTAATGCAGGTTATCAAATGATTAATGCCCATGCACCGTGCAGAAGTAACTCAGGAGCGTGTCCACCAGTTGAAACTGCGTGTCTGTTCCCTGGCTGTGCTGCTGTGACAGTTTTCCACTTGGCATGAGCTGACCCCGCAGATCACTGCTGATAAATACATACATGGCTTGGATGCTTTCCCCAGATGACTTTGCAATCATGTGGCATTTATACAGTTTGTGCTGAGTGAGCTCTGAGGCCTTTAAAATCAATTAATCCACTTTCACAAATAGACATGCAGTGTTTATGTGAGGACGGAGCTTTGATGCTGGACTCTTGTTGCTTTCTTCTCCCTCAGGACTGCAGTCTTTTCTACACCAAGAGGTTCTGCATGCAGTGTGTCAACAAACACTTGGACCAGTTCCCCCATCAGATTCAGGCTGAGCTGGCCAAGAAGAAGCAGAGCTCCAAAGCTGCCGTCTCGTGACATTGAACAAGAGGTCCAAACAAGAACACTCATTTGAATGTGTCAAGGTGCTTTACCAGCACTCTTTGTACACACTTACACTGGACCAACACCATCTGATAAATGAAAACACTCTGTAATTGATTACTTTTATTTAAGTGGAAAATTAACACCATACATGCTCATGTCCAGGAAAGTGAGGCTGCTGCTCTAACCTTGAAGGTGTTATTTGTTTTGAGAGAGTTTGGTAGAAGCAAGCAGCGGGTGTGACCACTGTTGCCGGACCCCTGATGGATTGTGGTTGCGGGCTCAGAGTCAGCCCCGCTGGATTGCAGCAATTAAAAATATGATGTCATGCACTGATTGTGCACAATGCCCTACAGTTGCTCAACAAAAGAAAATTTAAAATTGTTACTAATATTTGATCACTCATGGTCAGCCCAATTCAGCAACTATTCCATGCCTCTTACAAACTGTTTATTACTGTACAATTATGTATGACTCAAAAGATGTGGAAGTAGTAGCATCTTTGAAGACTTGTTGCTAGGCAGATTTAAACACAGATTCATGTCTCGAAATTAATAGGTTGTCTCCATTTTATCTTTAACTTGATGAACTACGCCTGTTGTGCAATGTTTTAATGCCCCCTCTTTAATACGGACACATTTTTATTACTTTTCAGCAACATATGGTAACATTAACATTTATATGAGTAATTATCTCTAACCATGGACACATTTGTGCTGACATGATGCATCCTTTTTACTAGTGCATCACTGTTATCCCTCTCATCTGTGTGTGCATGGTCAGAGAGTGCACTGTTGACTTCTGTGGAGTCAAAAAAATGTTTATCTGTGTTATCTTAGCCTATAAAAAAAGACACAGACAGTGACATTTCTCTGTTGTTGTCTGACTTGTTTAATCATGGGTCATAATTAATGTGTAACTACAGCCTGTGGCAGTTGCATCATCCCGTTCTGTGTTAAACAGTAACTTAATTTTCAAAAATACACACTTCACAGACAAAATGTTCCTTTGCCTCCCGTTCTCGCTTTGCCCCCCGTTTTAATCATCGCGATCAAAATGTGTTTTCATCTCAGGGATCACTCTGTACAACACCACGCACAGTTTGCAGCAGCATAAACACATTATGGATTAAGTGTGATCCCGGCGATAACATCGATATAACAGATGGCCTCGCTGTATTCATCACGAGATGTTTGACGTTTCGGGGGTTAATTGAAACAGCATGGCCTTTAAGGCAGGCCCAGTGATTTTCTTTCTTCTTTTTTTTTTTTTTTTTTTCTTCTTACTGGCAAATGCTGAAGAGGAATGCAGAGCGACATTAGAGTTTAAGTTGGGACATGGTGAACTCCTGGGCACAAGGAGTGCTGAAGCATTCACTCAATTACTCCAGGATGCCTGTGCCGCTCTGGGATGTACAGAAAATAAACTCGGTAACTTCAGTCTTGGCATGAACTAAAATCTTAAGTCAGCTTTTTCTTTTAAGGATGCACATTAAGAACTCCTCCAGAGGGAAATGGTGCTGCATTGCAATGACGTTATTTATTTATTTTAAAGCTGCACCACTTTCTGTTTCCTCTGTGTTTAAATTCCAAGCCCACACAAGCAATTACAAGCAGTGGCACACACTAACCACCTCTGTGGCACCAGTGGCAAAGTCTGACAGCGATAGGCATGATGCCAACGATGACGGAAGGCTTTTTGCCCCGAGAGCTGATGTCATCGGATGCCAGGAGGCAGATTTGTGGCTTTCTTTTTTTTCTTTTTTGTCATTTTCCTGCATAAACCCTCATTTTAGCATCTCATTGTCCTTGAATAGCCTTGAAGTTATGACTGAATGGCTTCACACTGATTGAATCAAGTGTGCCTAAACCACTTATGTGACACCAAATCAGATCAAGCATTGCTATCTGTCAGCACTCGCACCATCGTTTGATAATTGATTCCTGTGATAGTATTAGCAGCCTGGAGCAAGACCTCACACTTGAGATAAATCTGTCTGTTGTTGTTTACTTGTGTGTTGTTTTTTTTTTAAAAATTTAGGAGACTTTACAGTGCATGAGCACAAAGTACAAGACACTTAATGAGATCAAATGATATCTTTGACCTGTAGGTGTCCAGTTAACCTGAAGCCTGCTGCTACAAATGATGTGCTAATGGACAGATAAAACATCTTTTATAAGCACAGCCTCTTCTTCTACTACTCTTTATGCATTTAACTTATCATACGGATTAATTGGGTCATATTCATGTGTAGAGTTAATCCAATCGAGCTCTGTGTTGTTGTTGCTCCTGTTCGACTTTAAGATTGCACTATGGGCGGTCCTTGCGCGCAGACCAATGAAGCGCCGTCTCTGTTTAAATAGTCCTTGATGTCAACTTTCCTCCTTCACTCATAGCACCCTCTAACGCCATGTTGGCTGTTTTGACTTGACTTGTTGTTTTCATCAGCCTTACTACGGACCTGACAGGAGTGGCTCTCTTAAACGCCCCTGCGCCCTTGGAGACGCTTTAATTTTTTTTTTTTTTTTTTTTTTTTTTTTTCTTCTTGCTGGTTGTTGTTGTGCGTACGCGTTTTGGATGATACGCGCGGAGTTATGCACGCATCATCCCCGTGACTTTGCATTTGAAAGGATTACTACTTGGAAATAGAAGTTGTGTGTTTTTGTTTCTGTGTCATATGTGCAACAAAATGTCAGATGTTCGCCTTTCTAATGCGAGCCCGACAGTGGAGAGGGTGGACGCGCGGCTGCCGGACAACGTCAGAGCTTCAGTCAGCAGAAATCTTTTCGGCCGACCGGACCCTGAGGAGATACGGAGGTATGTGGAGACGTCGATACAGGAAGATGTGCAGCGTTTCACGGAGATTTATAACTACGACCCGGTGAGCGACAGACCGCTCTCTCCGCGGAGATACGAGTGGCAGGAGGACAGCGACGCGCCGGAGTTTTACCGCAGGGCGCCTCACGGGAGCCAGCCGCCACAGGATGCCGAGGAGAGGAGTGAGCGGCGGCCGGAGCGAGCACGCAGAGACGGTGGGAGGAAGAGGCGTTCAGGGGACTCAGGTGATTTACCATGTTCTTACGAGTGCCACGCTGTTTTGTGTTTGCGCTGTGCTGCAATGCAGACGCGCAAAGCAACAGTTGTGTCAAGGGTGCACCCGCAGGCTACACTCGGTGTCGATGCATTCTGTAGTATTTAACCTCTTATTATTAACGAGCATGACAGTGTAATGCACGCTTTTTGAAAGCAGCAAACCCGCGCTTATTTTTACACAGCCTGCACATTTTTTTTTTAAACTATCCTCGCTTTTAAATTTCTCCAGCATGCCGTGGATGTCAGGTGCCTTTTAAAGTGAACGTGCAGCCTCACACACATCCTGACAACTTTTTTATGCCTGCCAGGTCCCTGCTCCGGCGCGTGTCAGAGTAAAAGGTCGCATACCGACAAGGATGATGATGAAGACCAGTCGGACGGTGCAGGAAGTCAGGCGGTGCAAGCCGCGGAGGAGAGACCCAGCAGGCCAGAGAGGAACGAGGTCCAGTGAAACCAGTGCCAGGTAAGAAACCATCATATCTCCCATAAAATAATGTGAATGGAAGCTACTATAGAGAGATCTTGGAGGTGTGTGTGCTTGTTGCTGTCCTGCACACGTCACCAGCCGCTCAAACTTGCATTTATTTTTTTCATCTTCCACAACTCCTCCAGCTATGACTGTTCACTCTGTGCGTGTGTGTGCGTGTGTGTGCATGGGATATCAAAAGAGTGAGCAACTGTTTTTTTTTTTTTTTTTTTTTTTTTCAATTGCACCATTCAACAGCCACCGTTTCCTCTTTTTCTGTCCCGCAGAGCTGGGAGACCTGTTGCTGGTGGTATACTGTAGCCTTTCTCATCATCTGACAGGTGGGAGAGAGAAAAATCTAAAAGCAGCCTCTTTCTACAGAAGGGAGGAGGAGAGGCCGCACAAGCACTGAATATGTACACTATCAAGTTTTGGCACTCATTTCATTTAAAAAAAAAATGCCTCAGAAGCAGCAGACAATGTAGCAGTGTGCAAATGGATTTTTGCTCATATTTTTTTTTATCTACTACCTATGTTTCAGATGTAGCACATAAAACAAAAGCATATTATGCTTTTCATACCTTTCTTTTTGTTAAATGTTATTTGAATAATTGTGTGAATTTGACTCGGGAAGTTGCAGTGCAATTTCCAGCAGAGAAATATTGTTTTCTTTTAAAGTGGTCATTTGTTGTATCATTATTCAGGTAATTGATGTAAGTTAAAAAAAAATGCAGATTTCAAAAAAAGTCAGGGTTGTGTGGAAACAAATGTCTTCACCTTTTTTTTTTAATGGCTTTATTTGTCCCAGTGTTTTATTTCAGCTGAGTGTATGATTACTGCTGCACACAGGGAAGTAAGAGTGAAGACAAAGAGCTCGAAGGAGGGAGCAGCAGATATGGATTAAAGTAAATGGATGGAAAACGGGGATAGAGAGAGTAAAAGAGAACTGAGAAAAAAAAATAGAAAGCTCTGTTTTACAGCTGTC